TGCGTGTAATAATAAGTTTTTAATTAGCTTTTAATTATTTCTTCTTTATCTCGTTCTTATTATCTGTTTACAATTCCAAAAACTTTTATACTTCTTACACGCATGTATATATATATATATATATATATATATATATATATATACACATACATATATAGGAAGTCTGCAAGTCGATTTTCGCGTGGAACAGTGCTCAATACGTTGAAGCGGAGCAGAATAAATATTATGAGAGGAAAAAAGGACGCAACTACATTTCCCGACAAGCCTGTTTCGTGAATCGCTTCACTCTTCAGGGGTTTAAAAGGGTTTTAAAAGGGTTTTAAAAGGGTTTTAAACCCCTGAAGAGTGAAGCGATTCACGAAACAGGCTTGTCGGGAAATGTAGTTGCGTCCTTTTTTCCTCTCATAATATATATATATATATATATATATATATATATATATATATGCGCATGCTCACTAGTTTTTCTTGTTTGAGCACTCTGGCATGGCTTAGATGATCCCACATGTATGAGATCACTTGCGGTGAATTTATGGCCTTACCTCCATCTTAATTAGTTAATTAGAATAGAGCATTCCATGACATTTCCATAGACGTATAGTTTATGGCAGTTATGCTTCAAATAGCGATTCCCAAAGGCAAAAAGGGTCATGGTTGATTTGTCCTTATAGACCTGAAGGAATTTTTCAATTGAAACTTTTGTTGTAAATCTTATAGCTTTCAGAATTTTTCAACAACATCACACAATTTAAGCATGGTGAATCAACGTACGGCTCCCCTAGACGCAAGAAATTCTGATGTCTCTCTCTAGCTTCGATATAGCAAATTTAGCCCTTCTTATATTAAAGCTCTACTCTAGAAATTTTTCTGTCGATTCGGGTCCGACTTGAGTGATTATATATTATCATAAGTAATTTAGTGTAAACAACTGGGTTGAAAACGTAAATTAGCCACCGTAAAGGGTAAAAAAGCTGACGTTTCGAGCGTTAGCCCTTCGTCAGAGCGATTAGAGGAATTGTGGGTTGTGTGTGGATTTATATGTAGGAAGTGGAGCTACGCCATTGGTGGGAATGTGGTGACGAGAAAACAGGAATAAATTAGTTGAATGAAAAGCGCTCGTTGATTCCGTGGGGATTAAGGGTGCCGATTTGCAATATAAATTTTTGTTCTAGTGTTTTACGGCTTTCCGAACTGCCTATAGATGTAAGGAAAGGCCGCAAACTGCCATATGCTGTTTAGAATGATAAGGAAGATTAAAGTGTCTAGCGACTGGTTTGGATGCGTCCTTGTCATTTCTTTCCACATCGCGAAGGTGTTCTCGGAATCGGTCACCCAGTCGTCTTCCTGTTTCGCCGATGTATAACTTATTGAGGTCTTTGTCGACTTTGGCATAAAAGGAGGTGTCGGAAAGTTGCCGCAAAGCTTCTTTTTGATAGAGGTCGGCCCGCCAAACAACAACT